TTTTTTCTGTTATTTCCAACCCCATTTTCATGACATTTCAATTAGGAAATAGGAAACGTCAAATTGGTCATAATACCATGGATATCCATGACAATACGAAAATCGATATGTACTCATAAACATTCCTTCAGGCTGTTTGTAGATATTTTATTTTGCAGTTTTATACCATTAATTTATGTGTATATTCTCTATCTGTGTTTCATGAGGTGAAAGTGGCTTTCGTATACAATTTTGTACACTTGTTGTATTTGTCACAACATGCAAAACTCACAAAACAGCACAGGTAGACAAGCTAGACAACAGCAACAGCAGCCGTATCAGCAAGGACATTCTCATCATCACCACAACTCAGCAGAAAATAATAAATCACCAGCATCTATACCGCCCAATTCGTTAGCGATATCCAAATCGTATGTGCCCGCACCGGCTTCCAGCACCTCTGATGATACTGACTTCCATGAATCGGATGCAAGGTATGAATGTGCTATCTGTATTCACTGGCTGAATGAGCCTGTCATCACCACTTGCGGTCATCGGTTTTGCAAATCTTGCCTCACAGAATGGCTAAACAATCACAATCAGTGTTGTCCGTTGGATAACACAAAGCTTTCTACCGAACACGATATCTTCCCGGACAACTTTACTAGACGCGAAATCGAACAACTTAAGCACAAGTGCCCCAATTCGCCACTGGGTTGCGCAGTGGTAGCCTCACCAATAGAAGTGGATCGTCATTTGCCAACTTGTCCCTACAGGAGGCTGGAGAACGCCGAGGAAAAATGCCCATTTGCAAGTGTAAAGTGCGACTTTGTCGGGCGGCCCGAAACAAATGCACTCGAAGAACATCTTAAAGAGGATATGCCGCACCACATGCAACTAATGTTGCAGGCATTCCAGCAAACAGCAGTTTCCACATGGAATCCACAGAAACTCCCATCGGCTATTGGTGGCAAGGTAAATGGCGTGCTACCACCACCTCCACCGCAATATGCAAATGAAGCTGACGAACAACTTATACAAACGATGTACCAACGTATTGTGGTACTAGAGCAGCGCGTAAGAGAACAGGATGTAAAGTTAGAAAATCTCACAAAGCAATTGGCCACACGTCAGCAAATCGATCCACGCTACAGCAATGGAACAATCGTCTGGGAAATAACAAATTTTCGTAACGTAGTGGAACAACTACGTGCCGATGCAAATAATTTACTTTATTCACGCGATTTTTATACCTCGCCGCATGGCTACCGTTTCTGTGCACGTCTTAACATACAGCCAAGACACGTCAATTTACTAAGTCTACATGTACATTTAATGCAATCGGAAAATGATTTTCATTTAGATTGGCCATTCAAAGGACGCATCAAACTATGCATGATACATCCTCACGATCCCAGTCTCTCGCAACATGACACTATTATGACAAAACCAGAAGTTATGGCCTTCCATAAACCACGGGAACGCATAAGCACACGTGGTTTTGGTTTCGTGGAATACGCTAAAATAGCGGATGTAATGCACAAAGGCTTCTGTGAGAATGATAAAGTGGTCATCAAAATACAAATAAATATAGTTTAAGGTCAGATAAGATCAAGTAGAAGAAAGCAGGGCTGGAGCGCAACAAGAGACGTAGGCAAGTATTTATGTATATTAAAAACTAAATAGATATGTATGTATCTATATACATACATGTACTGTTCCTCGACAGAGCTAATCAAAACAGTTTTGTTATAGAGGGAAGGGGGAATACATACATAAATACATACATATGTAGATATCTACATGCATATGAAAAATTGTTACTAGGACTGAATATGCCTACGCAAATGCCAACGATGGTAACAAAACTCGCAGATAACTTTCATTATGATATACATACATACAAAGTAGTGAAAACTTTTAGCGGTATCCTGCTAAAAATTTTTGAGACGAGCTTATCCAAGTAATATACATTTAGAGTCAAAAGTTAGCATACACCTCGTTCTAATATAATATTCACAATATTTTGCATGATTTATTTTTTCATTAATTTTGTATTAAAATGCATTTTACATGTATACATGTATACATATCGACACCTTCAAACCGTACCATGCTAAGTCACCTTAAAGCATAAACAGACGGCAGCGTTGATCCGGATCAACTCGGGAATTAACTGCATTTGATCCGGATTAACTTGGATTAAGTCCGAGTTAATCCGGATCAACGCTGCCGTCTGTTTAAGCTTTTAGACTTAGACTTAGCACAGTATGGTTTGGAGGCTTCGATTATAACATACCATATAAATAAAAGTTTCACATTTGATATTTTACGAAAATTCAACAGATTTGCCAAAAATTGTCAACAAATTTTTAGTTTTTAAAACTTTAATCCGATTTTTTTTTTAATTTTCTCGTATGCTGTTTTGTAGCCGATAAAGGCCGGTCCACATAGAACTTTCGCGTTGGCTGTGGCGTTCGCGTGGGTTTGACAGAACCTGCACGACGAGGCAAAAATGCTCCCTGTTAAGGAGCATAACACAATGCGCTGCAAGCAGTTTCTTATTTCTTTAAAATTTTTATTGAAGGTGTACTTTAATATCTCCTATTTCATTTCGAAAAAAGTCTCATTGTGAATTAAGGTAACGATATATGGTTTGTGTTATAGAATGAACTACATTTTCAATAAAAATTAATGGAAACAATTGTTCATAAAGTGAAAGTAATTTCATGAGTTAAATTTTTTGCTAGTTTTTAATTATATTAAATAAATGAGAAATATGGTTGGAAACTGACTACGTAAATAAATTATGTGTTTCGAACTAAAAAGGCAGAAAGTTAAATATTAGAGAATGTGCGATTTTATCAACTCAGTTTGATTGGGTGGTGGCCGCATTTATGTCTCCTTTCTAAGCGGTTTTCTAAACAAATAGTTGCTTCACAGCCTCGTCATTTATATAAAGTGACGAACAAAAGTATTGGCACAGTGAATTTTTCACCAATATATGCAAAGTTTTTTATTATTCTAATTTATTTTCGATAATTTTTTATAAAAAATATAGTTCATTTTACACCAGAAAACGTAATAACAAAATTTCTAAACTTTGTGCAAAACTCAGGAAAATGCATTAAATTTGCACACTAATTTGCAACTTTTTATTCAGTTTTTTAGAAAATTTAGAAAAATTCTATGTATGCAGTTTTATAGCCCATTCAAATTAAGTATAACAAAGTGCAAGTTTGAAGTCGGTAGAAAATCGCGTTGATTTTTGGAAATTTTTTAGTGGAAGGTGTTGCTCATTTTCTCCATACAAAAAATAATTGTCGAATTACTTTGTATGGAAGAACTTGCGTAAAAAAAAAATTACCAAAAATCAATGCGATTTTCTAGCGACTTCAAACTTGCACTTTTATATACTTAATTTGAATGGGCTATAAAACTACATACTTAGAATTTTTCTAAATTTTCTAAAAAAACTGAATAAAAGGTTGCAAATTAGTCTGCAAATTTAATGAATTTTCCTGAGTTTTGCACAAAGTTTAGAGATTTTGTTATTACGTTTTCTGGTGTATCGAAAATAAATAAGAATAAGGAACTTTGCGTATATTGCGAAAAATTCACTGTGGCGATACTTCTGTTCGGCACTGAATACAAATTTGAATATTTTAACTATTTTTTTGATGTTAGTATTTTATGTCGTGGTATTAAATATATACATATATGTATATGTATGTATATTTGACCATTTATTTTGTATGCATTTATGCTACCCGTTTTACCTTATTTATTGTCGTAATACTTATTCAAAGAAATACGTAGAGATAAACTAGTTTTACTCGTAGATTTAAGTAAACAATTTTAGATGGAATGTTGCCCCTTTTGGGTTTTTGTACGGCAACTTATTTCGCTCAAAATTATATACAAAGAAAAATATACGGAAATGCAATACTAAAAATATGTGTTTATCAAAATATTGTAATGTATACTTACAAAGGTATAATATATATCTAAACACAAAAATGTGAATAATAAATAGTATAAAACTTAGATACATAATTCCGTAGTTTTGATTTTTCTTTATTAATTTTAAGTGCCGTTTTCTCAAGTAGCTTTTAAAATTTATCTACCCTACATTTTAAAACCTACCCTAACTCTTACAAGACCTAAGGAACTATTAAAAAACATCTTCCAAAAATCCTTTTGCATTGATGATAACAATAGTAGCGTTCTTGTACGCGATAGTTTGTACTAACTATCACGTTTTGGTGTTCTTGTACCCAAAAAACTTGTAAGAAAGGGGAAATTGAGAGCGCAAATTGACATTTCTTTCTGAGGAGAAGTTACTAGTTTTTACTGGATAAATTTTTGCAAGTAAGAACTTGCAAGTGAGAAAAACTGCTGATCGCATGTTGCTGGGTGGAATTAAAACTAATAAAAGACATGTTTATGAGGTTTTCATAGTTGAAATTGACAAAATAAACCTATTTAAATATAATATATATTGTTTTAATAGGAACTAGCTGCGAATAAACAACAAATTAATCAGCTGTTCGTAAAACTTGCAAATTATTACTGGTTTTGCGTTCTTGTACTTTTGTGCTATGAGAGCGAATTCTCAGAAATTAAGTTACTGGAGAATTACTCGCAAGTTACTGGATAATTTGTAAAAGAACACAACTAATAGGAGTGTTCGCTATGCAACTGCCAGTAAGAATTAGCCAGTAACAAAATTCAGAGAACAAGGTACCTTACTCTCCCAAAGAGAGAAACTTACTAAATTTTGCGCGAACAGGAATTAGCAAACATTAGCAAGCTTCACTGCCAGCTGGCGTCCACGGTTGCATTACGAGCATAATAAATTTTTTAAATTATTTCAGTTGGAAACGAAAACAGGACCTATACGTTTATTTCTTCTTATTCTGACTTTCTTCAACATACGCTTCAATTTCATTGTGGAAGTCACTGTCGGATTTCCTATATCGACAGTGGTGTCGAGTGCGTTCCGATTACGAATACAGCTTTTTCAGCCGAGTACCTTTCAAATGTTTGGAATTAATTAAATTAGTTGAATAAACGAATATTTACATACTTCTTTCATTAGTAAATCGCAACAAGATTGTTCATTTTTAAATTTAACGATACCGTTGATTCAAATTAATGTTGACAAAAATGCAGCCGTGTGCCACAATCCTGCTTGCAAATTCTTACTGGCAAAAATTTTCCCAGCACGAATTTGCAACTTCCCCTCCAAATAAAATGTCAAAATTGTGCTCTCTCCTTGTAAGTTTTACTGGGTTTTTGGCTAAACGAACACGATTTGGTAATAATTGCTACCAACTTGTACAAATTTTTTGCATAGCGAACACTCCTAATATGTACACACATACATACATACATATATTTCCAATCTGGCGCTTCGTGACACTTGTATGACTAAATGTTAAAAAAATAGAAAGTCAAAATTTAAGAAGGGTCTTCTAGATTTGGCTTAATAAAATGAATAAACTAAATTTTTTAGAATATGGAAGAAATCCGCAACACCTTTGGCGAAAAAAATTCAAAAAATCAACGGTAACTTTTAGTCACTTCAAACTTGCACATTAGAAGACTAAAATTGAAGGGGCTAAAAAACAGTACTCGAAAAAATGCTAACACTTCCAAGAAAAAAGTTTGAAATTTAGGTGAAAATTTGTAGCACTTTCATCAAAATTTTTTTATTCAGAATTAATAGATCCCTATAAACATTTTGGCACAGGTTCGAGGTTTGCTCAGAACACAGTTTTCTCGCTCCCTCTTGACAAAATCGGAGGAAGTGAAATCCAGCTAATTTTCGAATGGAAAAAAAGAAAATAACTCTCATTAAAATTTCAATTCGATAATGGAGAATGGCCTAGTTCTCGAATCGACTAATCTATTCCACATTAGTTATCGAAGGTGAGACTTGGAAAAAATATTGTTTTCCAATCATTTTCGAATTGTTAACCAAGCCCAATGTTTATTGGGGTAATTGGAAGTTGCTAAAAAACGCCTTGATTTGAGATTTACGTGTAAACTTATGAAACACGTAAATTTAAGAGTTTGCACACAGTGTTACATGAACGCACCACATAAAATCAAGTAAAAACCAAAAATTTAAAAATTCTTATAAATAAATTCTTGCGTCTCATTTAAAATTCTTGAATGTTTTCGCTAAAACTGCTTGTAAGTTAGACTTATGTATGCTTGTATTCAGAAAGTCAACCTCCTCTCAAGTCACTAAATTTGAGACTATGAAATAGTGACTCTTTTTGTGACTTGAGATGGTTTGGGTATTCAATAAGAATGTCACAAAAAGTTCACTAAAGAAGTGTGGTAAAAACAAACAAGAGACAGTCAACTGATAGCATGTGTATGTATAGCTTTGTTTCTTAACAGATAATTATCACAAATAATCACTAATTTCTGCTGGAAAGCGTTTCTTAACCCAAAAAACTAGCAGAAACTAGCAGCTCTCTCTCGTTCTTAAGCAGCTCTCACTCGTTCTTACGCTCTTACTTTTTTGGCTCTCCTGCTAATTTCTGCCAGTAAAATTTTTACCAGCAGAAACTAGCAGCTGTCAAAATGGATAAACAAAAATTCTGGCTAAATATATTCAATAGTCAAATACACTTAGGTCTCTTTTTATGCGGTACATGCGTTCCTCAGAAAGCCGCATAAAAAAAAATCCGCATAAAAAAGTTCTTTACTTTCATACAAAAACAGGGGATGCGTTCCAGCATTTTCAAAAACCGCATAAATTCAGATACTCTATGTAAAAAATTTTAAAAAACCGCATAAAAAAATCCAGTGAGGCATTATTGAGCAAAAAAAACTATTTATTTCTTCACTTCAACACTTATTATTCCATATAAACCCGAACATTAATGAAATAAATTAAATTTTAAATTAAAATTAACAAAAAATAAAAATACCACAATAAATATATGAATTATGTAGAATACATAAAAAAAATTGAGAAAAAAAGGTTTTTTCTTAACAGCGGTCGCCCATCGGCATGCCATGAAAATCAGCTTCTCATAAAAATCCAATCGTTCGGAGTCGGAGTAAATGTGTAGGTCCCTCCCTTTTGTGAGAAAAGCTCGGCCAAACAGTAAAATTTTGTGTAAGCTCGATTTTGTCGTCAATATTTTTATCAGTTTTGGTACCGATATATTTTATCGATTTTGCTATCGATATTGTTGTCGCTTTTGTTATCGATATTTTTATAGGTTTTATTATCGATATTGCTATTGATATTGTTATTGATATTTTTATCGATTTTGTTATCGACTTATTAATCGATTTTGTATCGACTTTGTTATCGATTTTGTAATCGATTTATAGATTTTGTAATTCATAATTTGCTCTCTAAGTAACTCGCTAAGTAATTCGTGAATTACCCTGTTTCCACGCCACACATTAGTAATTTGTTTGACAGATCTAGTTCTTGTTCTGGTTCTTCGCTATTTATTATCAGGGCTATTCGCGATCCGGTGCAAATGGCCTAGCATCATTGCATTGCATTTCTATCAGTTGATTAAAAAAGTTTTACCATCACAGTTTAATAAAGGTCGCTCACAATCCATGGGTTATTTCTGCAATTGCATAAATTTGTCAGCTCTTATGCACCGAATCGCGAATATCCCTATTATTTTTGTGTACGGCGAATATCGAAGATGGAGCTAAAATTTAAGTTATCATCAACAATTTTAATTTATATAGAGAATATTTTATTCATATTATTCTATAACTAGAAAAAGTGCTGGAGGGAGAGCGAATTACGAAGCGTGGAAACGCCATATAATCGATTTATAGATTTTGTAATCGATTTAGTTATCGATATTTTTATTGATTTTGCTATCAATATTATTATCGATTTCGATATCGATATTTTCACCGATTTTTCTATAGATGTTTTTATCGATATTATTATCGCTTTTGTAATCGATATTTTTTTTAGTGTGAGCTTTCGTTTTTGACTTGGACGTGCTCTTATCCATACCACGTATTCTACGTTGAAACAAAGCCCGCAGACCAAGACGAAGGCGCCGAACTGTTCCTTTTTTTAAACTTCGCTCGTTAATAACTCTATATCAATAACTGTAATCAAATTTCATTTTAGTCTACTTAAAAATACACTTTTGCGATAACAAATATAACGTTTGCTCTACAATTGAAGTTATTTATGTAGGCCCATAAATAAGCAGTAAAATCACGCTTTCTGCACGCAAACGTGAACATAGATAATCATCGCAATTCAATACAATTGCCGATTACCGTTAAACATGACTGGCGGTATTAAACCCCACTTTATCTAATCTGTTGAAAATGTATTAAGTAATTAACGGCTTAAAAAACATAATCTGGCGATATATAGAGCGCTGATTATCGTGTATGGTTTGAGTAAACTTTTCTTAGCGATCCGTTAAACATGAAAGGGCTGGTACTGATTTGGGGCTTTTTAGGTAAGTATAAGTTAAGAAGATTTTTCTCAACCTTTCAATATATCTTCCATTTCAAAGGAACTGTAGTTGCCTATCCCTTGCGCGTGAGTCTTCTGGATATGGCTGAGACGCCAACCACAAACAAAGTACATTTCTACCTTTACACTGCTTCAAATCCAGAAGAGCCACAAGAGCTTAGTATTGGGGATGTAGATTCCGTAAAAAAATCGCTCTTCGACAAAAGTCGACACACAAAGTAAGTTTGAGAAGATTTTCAAAAGACCTTTCTCTTCTGTTGCACTTAACAATGCATTTATCCATTTAAGAGTTCTGATACACGGCTGGGGTGGAAACTATACAACTTCCCCAAATGGTTTACTGCGACGCGCCTACTTCAAACAACAGGATTACAATATAATTTCCGTTGATTGGTATCCATATGCGAAATTGAATTATTTATCAGCACGCGCAAAGGTGCCGGTCGTAGGTGAAAATATAGCCGAGTTTTTGGATTTCCTAAACGAACAATTCCAATTGAGCTTTGACAAAGTGGTGGTGATAGGTCACAGCATGGGCGCACATGCAGCCGGATTTAGTGGGAAACTTGTAAAGCGTGGAAATATTGCTGCCATAGTTTCATTGGATGCAGCTTCTCCACTTTACGATTACAACAGTCCAGACACACGTATATCCAGTGATGATGCCAAATTTGTGCTAAGCATACACACAAATGGTAATTTAAAGGGTTTCCTAAATCCCATCGGCACTGCGTCATTCTATCCGAATTGGGGTCGCGTGCAACCTGGTTGTGGATTAGATTTAGATGGTGCATGCTCTCACAGCCGTAGCGTCACTTTGTTCGCAGAAGCTGTGCGCGGCTACTCATTTGCACCAATTTACGGATGTGGTGATTTTACTGAAGTTTCATCGAAAAGTGGTTGTAATCAAAGTGCAACGCATGTAGAATTCGGTGATCCATTACAGATAGATCAAAATGCGGGCATGTACTATTTTACAACTAACGCAGCATCTCCTTTCGGAGTATTGATTGAAAGAAGGAATAAAGCAAGCGCAAGCGTTGCGGAGTATACAGTCGACGATCGTGATGTGTGAACTAATAATAAAAATTTCGATCATGATCTCCCTTTTTAGTAATAGTCAAATTTGTTGTTATTGTTGCTTCTGTGGAATTTCGCGCGGTCTTAATATTTCTACTCAGACAGCCCAGCTATGAAGAACTGGTGTGTGATGTTCGTCAGGTCTGAATGCCATTTGTAAATATGCTCGACTTAATGTGGGTCTATAAAGATTCGGCCGGGAGAGGTAGCTTCTTGGACGACTACTGCATTTCGAAGTATCGCATGGGAACTCAAGCTTCCTGCAACCTCTTAAATGCCTGTACAGTTCACATCGTTGGAGTTTAGGTCACACTACAAGGTGAACTAGTGTGGATGTCCCAAATTTGATTCCGGTTGGTTGGTTGTTGGAAGGGTTCAGCTGTGTATAAATTATTGAGTGTCCGGGAGTAAACGCCGATTAGGGGGCCCGTCTGTTTAAAATTTTATGTTGTTTGAATTTATGGTTTTTGGATTTGGATTTAAAAAATTTATATTTCCAGTGCCAGGTTCACGATTTGATCATACTCTCACTGATCTATGTAGTGATTGCTTTAAAAGAAGTGCATGTTTTGCTATTCCTAGTTCTGCTTTCTTCTATAATCCCAAGAAGCCAATTCGGCGCGTTTTTGATAACTCTGGATGTTCAATGAACTGGTTCAAAAAATGGCGCGTGGATATGCAGCGCTCGATGTGCTTTAGCAGCATTTATCCTGCAAATTGGACCTCGTTCGCCTTCACCAACGAATCTGCTTTGCGAGCGCATGAAGGAAGCGAAAATAAATCGATTATGATGGTGAATTTTCCGTAAATATACGTAGCTTTTAAATCTACATACATATTCGAACCCGCAAAAGTTTGATATTAAATAGTATAAAATTAGTGCGTCAAATTTTAATGTATGTATTTCTAAATAATCAATTTATTATAAATCATGTGCTTGCTATACTAAAATGCACACGTGCACTTTCCATTGTGATGATCTTAAGCTAGATAAAAATTTGAATTTTAAAATTATTTCAAAACATATACATACAAACACATACATATACGTGTACATACATACAGTGTTATCCTAGCGAATTCTTGAAAGGATTAATTAGTGACAGAATCCATTGTTGAGCCGGTCCCACTGAGCACAGTAGTCACTCCCAATAGAGCATCACCAATAGAATTAACAGGATTCACGGTATTGACAGCCGTTCCGAAAACTACCCCGATTCCACTACTTGGCAGAGCCATACTGGCACTAGTACCAACACCATCTAAAGCAACAGTGCCAGCGATTGCACTGGCAGTGCCCACAATACTTCGACTCAATGCTGCATCGTGAGTTCGCATATGTGCATTCAAGCCTCCTGATTGCGCAAACGTTTTGCCGCACACTTTGCATTCGTGTTTGCGATCTTTAGAATGTAACTTTTTATGTACTCGTAGAGACTTCTTCCTTTGAAATGTTGAACCACACATGTCGCATGCGAATGGCCGCTCGCTGCTATGTGTTACCGCATGTACATTCAGATCATGGAAGCTGTAAAATGCTTTGCCGCAAACTTCGCATTTCGCCGGCCTTTCTCCAGTGTGCCTACGCATATGCGCTTTATAAACGCCGTGGTCACGGCAACGCTTTCCACAAATCTCACAAACTACCGGCCTTTCGCCGGTATGGCGCAACATGTGAGCCTTCAACTCTTTATCAGTGAAGAAATCATTGCCACATTCCTGACATTTGTGGGCCTTTATGCCAGTGTGCCGAATTTTATGACGTTGCAGGTTACCAGTTTGTGAAAATTTCTTGCCACAAATATCGCATACAATGCCGGTATGTTTCCACTTATGGGCTCGCAAATTTCTCTCAGCCCTGAATAGTTCACCACATTCCTCACATTTGAATTTCATATTTGGCTCCTTGGGCTTTCTTTTTTTCGGGTTATGGGTTTGTCGGTGATGTGTTAACATGCTGCGTTTTGTTTTGTATGATCGCATGCAGTCCGGACAAGGGTACGGAAGTGAATCAATATCTTCTTGTGGTTTTGGTTTCTGATCAAAAGGTAAACAAAAAATGGTGAATATCAAATTCTGCAATACAACAGTTTATATAGAATGAAATCAACTCGCATTTAATGGAATCAAAAGGAATTGTTGAACTGTTTTACTGCGACCTTTTTGATTTATTCTTAATGTCGGCGCGTGGTCAGAGTGTTTACTGTATTAAACACATGAAAATACATTATTTTTCCAATATATTTCTCTCTCCTCCGGAGATCGTATTCATATTTAATTAATTTGAGCTAACCAACAACTGTCTCGTTTTACATGCATAAAGGGAAAATTGTGATTTTTCATGTGTTTTAATACATTAGACACCCTGACCTCGATCCGGCATTAAAAGGGAATTGTTGAACTTCTACTATTTCTTTTCATATAGACAAGACTTTCAAATGCGGTATATAGAAAGAAACTTTTTCAACGTGTAACGTGTCCTTAATCAAGTTTCCATCTAGTTCAAGACGTGAACTTACCTCCTCATCTGAGGAATCGTTTGGGTGCCAATCCGCATCATTTGCATCCCTTTTGTCATCGGTTGAATTTGTGTCACTATCATCGTCATCATCTACATCTTTTTTGCGCTTAGACTTCTCTTCTCGCTCCTCAATGCTCTCCTCTAATTTCTGTAAGTCAACGAAGTCAAATGGCTTCTCTTCAACTGTAGGTTCGTCGGGATCCGAATCTGGGGCATCAAAGCCCACAGACTCCCCTCCATCGTCACTGAGGTATTCTTCTTCGCTTTTTATGGGATCTACGTCAACTTTGATGGTCTCAGAGACATTTGAGGTACTCTTTTCAACTTTTTCGTCTTTGGGCGTCAGATGCTCATCTTGGAAATGTTGAGGGAACTGCTCGAACTCTACTTTGATGCCGCACAAACAACACGCCACATTGTAGGTATTCGAGCTTAGGCAATAAATCTCACCACATTTGAAGTTATGAAATTTACTCGCATCCGGCGGCACAAGTTTTAACATTTTCGTGATTTAATATGGTGAATTTTATTCTTTTAAAGTTCTAAAAATGGAAAATATTTAAGCAAATAGCGAAATCCACGACAACAAAAAACTCACTTTTTAATAGCATATGTCAAAAATGCAACCAGTGCTGCCAAGTCTGATCTCTACATGGTCTAGTGATGCCGGGTAAATATTTTTTTACTCCCAACACGTACATACATATTTTGCTCTCTACTTTTTCACAAATTCACTACTTTATAAGCACTTCCAAATCAATTTTAAATAATCTACTCGACAAGTATATTGTGGTAGGTAGTAATAAAATAATCTCGTCAGCTCTGCTGTAGCTTCTACCAGTGCTGCCGCACTAAACCAAAAACCAACTGCCCACTGTATTTGTAAACAATTATTGATTTTTATGTATTCGATATTGCATACAAAGGACTTGCAGTAAAATCTTCAACGATTCTGATTTAATAATAAATTTTGACTCTGGAAAATTTGTGTTAATTAAAGGTCCCAGAAAACAATGTCCGATTGCGCTGCAACGACTAATACCAGTGACAAGATGGCCAGCTTATTGAAAGAGGCAGAAAATTTAAAAATTAAACTAGAGGAGGAACGTGCAAAGTTAAATGATATTAACCTATGGACAGTAGCAGAGCGACTCGAGCAAATCGCTTTTGTAAACATTAAACCTCGCAAAGTACTTAAAGGTCATCAGGCTAAGGTTCTATGTACCGACTGGAGTCCAGATAAACGCCATATTATTTCTTCATCACAAGATGGACGATTAATTATCTGGGACGCATTCACTACAAATAAGGAGCATTTTATAACGATGCCCACTACATGGATTATGGCTTGTGCCTACTCACCATCAGGCAATTTTGTTGCATGTGGGGGTTTAGACAATAAGGTTACTGTTTACCCTATTACTTCAGATGAGGAAATGGCTGCCAAAAAGCGAACGGTTGGCACGCACACCAGCTACATGTCGTGCTGCATTTATCCAAATTCTGATCAGCAAATCCTTACAGGTAGTGGGGATTCAACTTGTGCACTATGGGATGTAGAAAGTGGACAGTTGCTGCAAAGCTTTCACGGCCATTCTGGTGACGTTATGGCGATTGATTTGGCGCCAAATGAAACCGGAAATACATTTGTCTCCGGAAGTTGCGATCGAATGGCTTTTATTTGGGATATGCGGTCAGGCCATGTTGTTCAATCGTTTGAAGGTCATCAGTCAGACGTGAATACCGTCAAGTTTCATCCCAGCGGGGACGCAATAGCAACCGGCTCAGATGATAGTAGCTGTCGCTTATTCGATATGCGTGCGGACCGGGAAGTGGCTGTATTCGCAAAGGAGAGTATCATATTTGGCGTTAACTCGGTAGATTTTTCTGTAAGCGGACGACTGCTGTTTGCAGGTTATAATGATTACACAGTCAATCTCTGGGATACGCTTAAATCTGAGCGTATATGTCTCCTCTACGGACATGAAAATAAGGTATCGTGTGTGCAGGTTTCGCCAGATGGTACTGCACTATCTACCGGTAGTTGGGATTATACCATACGCGTATGGGCCTAATTCACGTCGAAATGTGAAATGTTATATAAATAAATTATATAATAGCGATTTATTGTTGCCATTAAATTGTACACAATGAGATTAAAATTTGAATGTTACCTATTTGTTACTCGTATTATAACCTTAAAATTAACTTATTAAATGTTTTTAGCCAATAACACGGAAGTGTAAATGGATTTTTTTTTTAATCCTAATCACAAAAGTTATTAATTGAGAAGGCTATGTTCCTCCGCTTTATGCTGTCGCATATGACCCGCCAGTCCTGCCATTTGGGCATAAGCACGCCCGCACAACTTGCAGACAAATTTTTTGATTCCTAAATGCAAATGTTTGTGATGATATAATGCTTTGCTGCGAGAAAATGCGGCTCCACATACATCACACTTATGTGGACGTTCTGTAGAGTGCATTGGCTTGTGTTCATTAAGTAAAGAGGCCGACATAAATCGCCGCCCACATGTGGCACATTCAAAAGGTTTTTCCCCGGTGTGGGTCCTCTTATGTACAACAAGTGCATCCTTTTGCCGTGTACGATATCCGCATATTTCGCATATATAATTTCGTTCATCCGTATGAATTCTTTGATGGACTTTGAGACGTGATGAAGTAACAAAGGCCTTACCACAATTCTCAAAATTACATACAAATTCCTTCAAACCTTTATGTGATTTTAGGTGTACACGTAAGGATCGCGAATTTTTATAAGCACGGTTACATTGTGTACACGAAAACCCTATATGTTCCTTTCGTATATGCGAGTCCAAAGATCTCTGCTCTGTGAACTCAGCTTCGCATTGATCGCATTTGAAGTCCTTTGGTCTCAGATGCTTCATGTTTATATGAAGCTTCAGTATTCGTTCAGTGGTATAAGATTTTTGGCAGTGCGCACAAGAGTACTCTTTTGGCTTTCTAGGCTAAAAAATCGTCTGGGTATTAAACTTGCTTTAGCATACAAGTAAGCGGGAATTTACCTTTTTCAAAATAACATTATCGTCGTTTCCATTATTCACATCCAAATCTTCAACATCGTCATCATCGAATTCGTCGTCAGACATAGTCCCAGCATCTTCTGTAATGTCATATTCATTTGGATTGTCCCCATCATCCTCTTCCACCGTTTCTCTTTTAGGTGACATAATTTTCTTCTCGCTTGTTGTGGCTTCGCTCAGTATGCTTACTGGCTTGATTTCACATTTGGGGCTTACGCCACATTCGTCCAATTCAGCTAAATACTCCACATTTTCAAACTCCTCGTCTTTTATACATGCCTCAAGTTCACCATCTTTATCACTATCGCTGTCATGCACAGTGCCTCGCAAGTGCACGTTCTGGTAATGCAACATGAAGTCATCGAACTCAAAGAGCTTCATCTTGCATAGCACACAAATTATAGTGAAGTTCGCATTGTCGTAACAAATAATTTCTCCGCATCTTACGCTGGTCCTAGTTTGTTCATAACTAGAAGGCAGCGTACAATTTCGCAGCATTTTCCTTAAAAAAAAAAAAACCTTGACTTTTGATAAGCAATTTTGTTTATATGCCAATTGTCAACAAATTTTCATCAGTGCTGCTAATTCAGTTCAAGCCATACGTCTCGGCAAACCGATTATTTATGTACACATGTTTCAATTATCGCATGCGATTTTCAAATGAATAACACTATGCTACAATTTTATGAAATTCAAACCAGGCAGGGCTTTGCTAATATTTTCTGAAAGTATACATGTCCAGTATTAAAACACTTGATGGATTTAAAAATGTTAGCTCGTATTTTATTTTACCTACTAAAGTTTTCATGTCCCGCCCTAAGTAGTTTTCACAAAAGTGGAAAAACTGGTTAAAATAAATGTCTGAGTTTTTGCCTCAGAAGACCCCCAGTAAAATTTCCCAAGAATAATTTTCTACGGTCTAAGGGTCAAAACGACCATTTCAGGCGAGAGCTAATGGGTTAAAATGTTCTGCGTAAATATTTCCCATGGCTGCGTTTCTTTATACATTCCGGATAATCCCATTTCACCAGGAGCGTTCTAAAGAATAAGTAAACAAAAAAGTTTATTCCAAACGTTCAGAATGAATAAACAAATTCAGCCCATGAAATTTTACTATATATGTCTTAACCTTTAATTTCGCTCAAACATTTATTTTAGCCAATTTTTCCACTTTTTGAAAACTACTTGGGGCGGGAAATGCAAACTTTAGTAGGCCATAAAATAAAACCACGTGCTACCGTTTGCTAATCCATCGAGAGTTTTACTACTGGATGGGTATACCTTCAGAAAATGGTAACAAAGTCCGGGCTGGTTTTAGCTGTCGAACAGTGTAATTTTAAATAAAATATGTTTTCTTAAAATTTGGTTTTTGTTTATTTGTGAACTTTTTTTAATTGGGGTTTTTAAAAACCCCAAAATTGTAAGCCGTACATCCCAATTTAAAGATCTAGTGTGTTTCACAGAAGTCATAATATCACTATTAAAATTGGATCGCTTTTTTCGATCATATTTAATACATACTTATTTTGGTTATGAAAATTTAGTATCAATGATAACAGTTAAAAACTATCGACAAAAAGCCATTTATAACAATTAAATAAGTCTGTGAAATTTAGCTTTTTTCCCTTCCAATAAATATGTATTTTTTTTTAAATTTAGGTGTGTTAAATTAAAATAAACTTTGGTTTTTTAACTAATACTGTTGGATTTTTAAGTAAAACCTCAATTCTAAATTAATTAATTTTTGGCTTTTAATGCAAATTGCCAAAAATTCTAAAATATACATGTCACCAAAAAAAAAAAAAAATATCGACGTGCCAGAAAAAAACCAAAGATATGTTTTAATTTAACATTCTTAGATTTTCAAATATATGACCTACATAGATAGTTAGTTGGGTAAGGCACTGCGACCGGTAGGTCTATTGTGCCCAAAAAATACTACCTAATTATTGAAAGGGGAAAAGTTAAGTGGCTGTATTATTTTTAACTAAATGACAGCCATTACTCAATAAAAGCGCCAGCGTTGCCTTGCTATCAAAATATTCTGTCCTTACAACGCAGTAGATATTTCAGGAGTAAGAAGCCCTTCCGAAAGGCCGTCCTGTGAGTCAAGAGGCCTTCCACTCTACATTCCTTTCTCCTTTCTTTTTTGTATGGAGTGGCACAAATTGAAGGGCTTCTTCTTTCACTACCCATGTACATCAGAAGGCCTTTTGGAGGAGCTATTTTAAAGTTGCTCCTTTAATTTATGAAAATCATACATCTTTGAAGTATTTGCTTAAGGATTATATCAAATATGTGTAATTGCAACTTAAAATTGTAAATGGATAAGCCCTTCTAGAAGACATGCAAGGAAGCACTTTTTTCAGCCCTTCTGGGGTAGACTTCTTAGAATGGCTTTAATTAAGAAAGTCTACCTAAATTATCTTCTGGGAATTTGTATGAAGAAGCGTCAATGATGATCAATCGGAAAATCCGCATTTGACAGAGAGTGAAGAGATGAAGTTGGCTTCAGAAAACGACGAAACTGTTAAGTATTGTTGTTGTTATTTCTACATTTGACGTAGCGTGGCCGCTTTGTTTAGGTATGACAATTCGGCGTTAACGCTAGGCAGCAGAAAACGCTCCGCCCACCGCTGTTACATGACGATTATTTTCGGTCTAAGCCTTTACACAGTTTACACTGTTTCGAAATAAAAATAGACAATTATAAAAAATTTTGCAGTCACCTTTATATTACAACAAAAAGGTTTTTTTTTTTTTAATACATAACTTACGGTTACGGTTGATAATCTTTCAAACCCTCTTCCAGTGTTTTGATTAATTGTTGTGCTCCGCAAGAACTAGCATTGTTCACGACTTTCAAACCCCATTTACCAGTTATTTGGTCCTTGAAACATTTTATTAAATTTCCATTTATGGGTGCTACTGGTAAACCTCCAGGGTAGTCAATGATGGCGGTAATTCGCATTTTGTTGCAAGCCTCTATTATCCGCTGTAAGTAATTTTTTTGGGGCCAAAACTAAATTAAAATAGGAAAATAAATATTTATATACGTCGCACGAACTCGCATCGTTTACATTTATGTCGCTTCCATTATTTTGCAAGTGAGCTGTAATTACTAATTGCATAATTTGATAATCCTTAACCTAAAATAGGTAATGTTTAGCACGGATGTATAAACATATAACAATACCAAACCCACTTACTGAATTGAGTTCTTCTTGCAAATATACTATACCACTTTTGAGGTGAAAACACATTACCAATTGAAATGCGATAAATAACAGATCTTGAACTACGCGCTGAGCATCGGACCATATATACTCTCTGCACGTATTTTGATTTTCCGTTTTCAATTTTATGCACGTGTAAATATTCTCGAATTTAAAATTTTCTCCACTCTTGGATTGAATAAAAAAAGTGAAATCTTGCAACTTAAACTGTATTAGTTTTCATTACCACTTCTTCCACCGACACATAACGTCCTTTGTATGGGATTAAAAACCAAACTGTGTACTCCAGACACGTAATATATTCAAAAGCAACGCGTACATCATTGAAAATCTTCAAAGCATCCGCAGCTAACATTACGTCCAAAGCCGTTTGCCCAATAATGCAACAAGTTGTTAACTTGGGCAGTAAATCACGTTCGTTGTAGTGGTTTTTTAAAAATAGTTTTACAAAACATCCAAACAATTTTGCAATTTTTTCGCTTTAACAAGGAGGAAGGATTAAACGAATGAAAACGGTTCTCTAACATGTGCTTGGATACTCACTCTCGATTCATGCACCCATTTAATTTCGTAGTAATAAATTGCAACCAGTTGCCAGTAAATGCGTGGCATGATACCTGTGGTTGTTGCAAAATATAGTCGATATTTGTGTGAAATTTTCCCTGGAAAGCGTATATACTGCACTTTTGCTTCACTCCATCATCAACGGTATATTCGATCAACTCTGGACTACAGCGGAAGTCACGCAGAGCCTCAACTTTTTGAAATTGTTGTTGGCGTGTTTCAAGCAACTGCACGTTACGTTGTCGACGAAGCTTTCGCCTTTGTTCTCGAGCCAGCGCTTGTCGTGATGTACATGGTACATCACTATCACTATCACTTTCGACATCATGGCTGCCCATCGACGCTGTAGAAATATGAGTGGTTTTTTCAGCAACTCCTTTCGGAATGAGTAGTACTACACGGACATAGCCTTCATGTAGATTTTTGAAACTAACTAGTGATTCAATGCATGCATATTGGCCGCTACAGATAAATTTAACTGCGGCGCTAACGGCACGGCGGACTGGGCAATTATAACCTCCTTGTACAATGTAAACCGTGCTTTGTCTTTGTCTGAAATGTAGCTTCACATGAGCACAGTCAAGTATATTGCTGATTTCTATCTGTAAACAAACAATTGTACTAATATGTTTCATTAAAATAAAAAAACACTATTTTTTACCTCCTCGAAGAACATTTCCGCTTTAGCTGTCAAACCGTTGCACTATTTGCATATTTTACTTCCGCGAGACGGCATCTTTAGTACGAATAAAAGCAGGTACAGTACGAATAGAAAAATAAATTTGAGATGAGCTTCCCTACTAGACAAATTTGACGGAAACTAAAGCAGTGTTTGCATTGTTCAACTTTGCGTTCAACATTTACGTTCAACTCAACGCAGGGATGCACGAAAAAAAGTTGAATGGCTAAATGTTGGCTGGCAACCAACTTTGTTGAAAGCTTTTAGTTGAAACGCCGTTCAACCAGAAGTTGAATGCAAAGTTGAACAATGCAAACACCTTTTTATGGCGAATATTTTGATATTTTTTCATATTTTGATATTTTTAGCTATTTAACTTTTTTTCGTGCAACCCTGCGCTGAGTTGAACGCAAATGTTGAACGCAAAGTTGAACAATGCAAACACACTTTAATCCAAACATAACAGTCAACCAATAAAAATACAAGTATCTATTAAGCTGCATTTACATGAGGCAATTTTTTGACAGGCGATAATCGCCTGCAAAAGTTGAGCTGCTGTCTACCTTGAAGCAAGCGATTTTTGAATTACCATTTACACGAGCAATTTTTGAAAAATACAGATGGAAAGAAAAATATCTTCGCCATATTTGGGAAGTTTAATTATCTGTTAGACTGGACATTTCTACTTATCAAGCTTATTAATTGCATAACGAAATCTCCAAAAACGCGAATTATGAGTTACATCTCTATATTATTAAACGTGCGAAATACATGTACACTTGTGATCAGCTAATTTAGCCAGCAACATTTTGATAAATTTTGACTATTTTTCTTTGGTTTATTTAATCTTTATTATTTTTCCATAAAAGTCTAGCTCATTATATAACAAACACCACATTAATCCAGATTTCAAACTTTGTGCAAAAATTATGAAAAATCTGCAAAGTTTCAGCTAAATTTTCAACTTTTTATTCAGATTTTTTAGAATTTTTTTGGGTATGCCATTTAATTCTAGAGTAATAATGTGCAAGTCTTAAGTTGCTAAAAAATCGCGTTCGTTGAGTTGTAACCATCATTATGAGCTCAAAAAAGAGTCAGAAAATAACATATTTCCCTCCTTAAAAGCACGGTGGAGAGAATACAGAAGGTGGCGCCGATGGCAATAGGTTCGTTCGCGTAGCTGTTAATTGTTCATGTTTAACCAAAACTT